AGGAAGGGTGAGATTTTAGCTCTGAGCTCTGACCTCTCGGCTTTCTCTTTTACATTGTTTCTGTGTTTCTTATTTAATAAGACGGTTGGTTACATCTACAATCATTAAATTTAAGAACATCTAAATATTTCATCATGAGTCTGTGAAGCAAATGCTGTTCTATTTTTATGGCCTTGTTATTTGTGAGGCAGTCCAATCTAATGGATTATATATGTTGAAAGTGTATTTCATATGCATGGACTCCTTACATTTCTGTGAGTATGAAGATATGTTTTTCTGCAAGCAAGTGATAATGATTACACAAAAAATTGACCATCATAACCTGTAAATGTAGTTCTCCTTGAATGTAAACAATATCTGCCTTGAATTTAAGGACTTCCTTTATTGTTGACATGGTTTGTAGATACCCAACCATTTTATGTATATAGCAAACTGTGCACACACATTCTCATATAGGCATGTTCATATAAGAGTCAATACAGGGAATGTGGACTAGATGGCAATGTAGTCTACAAAGATACAATTTTATCTCAGGATAAATGGATCATGATAGTTTTTATGTCTTGAGAAACTCCAATGATCATTATCAGTGTGTTACCCTTATTTAATGTATGAAATTTTTGTTAGAAAATATATAAGGTATAATCATGTATCTTCCTAAATCATTTAAGAAAACAACAGTTATGTTAAATGGAAATAAGGTTTAGAAAAAAAGTATTATTGTCTGTATAAATGGAAATATTTTCATAAGTCTATAGTATTCAATAGACTACCATAATGATAGTGTGTTTTGCTGAGTAGATAAACCTTTAGACAAATGTTTTCCTTATTTGAATATTTTTCTTCTTTAGAGCTGCCTATCTTCATTTAAATGATAAAGGCATATTCTGAGACATTTTATTTATTAAAATGTACAATATAATGCTGTGTTGAATATGCCATAGAATCTATTTACATATTTTACCATTCTCATAGAACCTATATTTTCATATTACAGGATAAAAGGTAACATTTTTAAAAACCATGGAAACTTCTGCCATATGTACTTCTATTTCCCTATCTTGGTAACATATTAAGATCACTAGGCAAAGTATATAATTGAAATATTTAATTACACACAAAAATGCTACTATGCTGGGCAGTGGTGGCTCACGCCTTTAATCCCAGCACTCGTGAGGCAGAGCCAGGCAGAGCTCTATGAGTTCGAGGCCAGCCTGGACTACAGAGGGACAGCCAAGACAGGCACCAAAACTACATAGAGAAACCCTGTCTCGAAAAACAAAACAAAAATACTACTTTAATTTTTAAAGAAATTGTGTGTGGGAGAGTGTGTGTGTTTGTGTGTGTTTGTGTGTGTGTGTGTGTGTGTGTGTGTGAGAGAGAGAGAGAGAGAGAGAGAGAGAGAGAGAGAGAGAGAGAGAGAGAGAGAGAGAGAGAAATAGGGAAGCTAGTGCTATTAAGAACACTGGCTGAGAACCTAGTAGCTACACTATCCAAAGGCTGAATGCTCCAGCAGTCCCATTGTGGCACCGAACGCCTGGATGTTTCTTGTAGAGCCCCTATGCATCAGACAACTTTGGAAAGCAGAAGGAGCCAGATTCTGATATTAGCAAACCATGCAGCAATAGCAGTGGTGGCAGCCATGGAGTAGAGACATCAACACAAACAGGGAAAAGGAAACTTGCCAGCAGAATGAGCTCGCAGCAAGAAGGCCACCAGATGAAAACAGTCCTTTACCTACACCTCCTTTAATGGGCTCATCCAAAAGATGTCATCCACATTTAGGGTGGAGGGTCTTCCAACAAGTAGAAAATTCCTTAAAAGTGTTCTCATAGACTTATTTCTCAGTTAAATTCTGGTCCAGCCATGGTAATCATCAAGATGAACCATGAAAGGGGCTTGAATGCCATGTGCTATCACGAATCAGTCCATCAAAGGCCTGAATTATTATGACTATTATTATTATTATTTTATTGTTATTATTGAAAATAGATTCTTCTCTCATACAATATATCCCAACCACTATTTCCTCTCCCTTCACTTCTCCCAACTCTCCCTCCCACTTCCCTTGTCCCCTCGATCTACTCCCCTACATTTCCCTTCGGAAAAAGCAGGCCTCCAAAAGACAACAACCAGTCATGACAAAACATACAATAAGACAAGGCCAAAGCTCTCACATTGGCAAACCAATGGGAGGGAAAGAGTCTGAAGAGCAGGCAAAGGAGTCAGACAGACCTGCTCTGCTCTCACTGTTAGGAGTTCCACGAAACACCAAGCTAACATCCACAGCATACATACAGAAAACCTGGTGTAGACCAATGTGCCATACTAGCTGCTTCGGTCCCTGTGAGCCTCTATGATTCCTGCTTTGTTGATTCAGTGGGCCATATCTCCTGGTCCTCCTCCCCGCTTACTCCTAAAATCTCACCCCATCTTTCATGGGGTTCCCCATCTCCATGGGCGGGGTAGTGGGGGGAACACAGTAGAGACTTCCAATTTAGACTCTCTCTCCATATGTTAGGCTTTGGATCTCTGTCTATACCCACTACCATTTGCTGCCACAGGAAGCCTCTCTGATGATGATCGGACAAGGCACTTGCTATGAATACAGCAGAATATCAATAGGAATCATTTCTTTTGCCTGTCGAATTTGGATCTACCAAAGATTTCCGGTCTATCCACTCTCGGGTCCCTGACCATACAGGTAGTGTAGGGCAAGAGCTTCTTCTCAAGCCTGCCCTCAAGTTAAACCAGACATTGCTTGGTTACTACCACACGCTCTGTGCTACCGTTAAGCCAGAACATCTTTCAGGGAGGGAAGATTGAAGGACAGTGATTTTCTACCTGGGCTTGTGTCCGGGGATCTCTTTCTAGTAGCTTGAAGAGTACCTTCCCATGCCAACAAGACTACAACATAAAGGTGAAGGCTCCATGCAGGCACCAGCACCACTTCTCTCGAGTCCATTAGCTGGGAGGATGTTCTCCTTGGCAACGGAACCCTGGTGTCGGTTTTTGAAGAGAAACCCTTTGTCCTGGAATCAGCATGTGTTGTAAGGGTCTCCACAGAACTCCCTCTTCCAAACAAATCAATTGAATTTAACCTAGTCCCAAGACTGGCAGATTTCCAACTCTGTAGGCTTCCATAACACTCCAGAAATTCCCCCAAGGTTTTTAATATTCCTCAGTTACAGAATGTGATTAGCAGGCAAATGCTTTGCCACTTTCCATCACAGGATCAGGTCTAGTCTGAACTATGTTCCAGCAGTGAGGTTAGTGTTTTCAGTGAAATTTGCTTGGGTCTTGTTTGATTAGAAAGAAACATATTCATCATTTGATTTTTTTGGTCTTATTTTGATATTACAAAAATAGTAAATATACTCTTTAATTTAACTATGGTCAATTGATTTAATAATAAAAGCAAGCCTCTTATTTTAATGCTATTTAGTTTGATTTTTGTTTATTTTAGTGTGTAAAGTAAAAAATAGGTATTTACTGTATTTTAACCAATTCTGACAAATCTGTAAAAATACCATGTTGATTTAATATTATTATGATGATTATCTACCTGGAAAAAGGGAAACATTGATCAGTGTTAACGTGGTATGTATATATTGATATGACAAATCATAGTCATCATTCATAAAAGGTGCTGTGACAACTGGCCTGTCCTCAACCTCCTCTGGAAAGTAGTATCAGCATCATTGATACATTAGAAAAGGGACAACACCATACCACAGGATGAGTCATATCTTTACAGCTTCCTTTGTGTTATTCCCTTCAATATACTCTATAGAAAAATGAAAACATGTAGCTTGAGTTTTCCTGCCTTGCCCACAGTTAGAACAAATCTCTGTCACCCGCCAGTCCCACAGCTGCCCAGACCCAACCAAGTAAACACAGAGACTTATATTGCTTACAAACTATAGCCGTGGCAGGCTTCTTGCTAACAGTTCTTATAGCTTAAATTAATCCATTTCCATAAATCTATACCTTGCCACGTGGCTTGTGGTTTACC